TTGGGGTTTGGGGTTTAGGGTTTAGGGTTTAGAGATTTAGGGTTTGGGGTTTAGGGTTTGGGGTTTAGGGTTTGGGGTTTAAGGATTTAGGGTTTAGGGTTTGGGGTTTAGGGTTTGGGGTTTTGCGGGAGTGAGGGTCTCGTGTTTACACGTTTTAAGTTTTTGGTTTTAGGACTCAGGTTGGTAGAATTTAGGTTTCAGGGTTGAGGGTTCGGGTTTAGGGGGAAGTTACAGGGTTCTGGTTTAGAAATATAGGGCCCGACCCCAAACTCCAAGCCCGAAATGCCAAACCTCAAGAGTTCGAAAACCCTAAGCCCTAAGCCCTAAGCCCTAAGCCCTAAACCCTAACCCAAAACCCTAAACAAACCTAAAGTCTGAATGGGCCCTAAAGCCTTATCCCGGAATCCTAGACCCGCCTTCAACCCTAAAACCTAAAAGCTCGAAGTCCGAACTAAACTAAACCCTAAAGCCTAACTCGGGTTTTCTGGTTTAGGGTTGCAGGGTTTAGGGTTTTGGGTTTAGAGTTTCGGGTAGTATGGGGTTTGGGATTTTGGAGGGTATGGGTAGGATGTAGGGGGGTTGAGCTTGATTGAAGTCAAGTATGAGGGGCAGCCTTTCCGGGCTTGTGGGTATTTTTTGGAAGCTTCAGCCAGTACCAGCTACGAGCTGTGCTCCAAGTAGCTAAACCGTAAGCCCTGCTACCTTAACCCTAAACCCGAAGCCCTAAACCCTAAACCCGACACCCTAAGCCCTAAACCCTAAACCCGAAGCCCTAAACCCTAAACCCTAAACCCGACACCCTAAGCCCTAAACCCTAAATTAAACCCGAAAGCTCATTCTCTGTCCAAGCTCAGGTGGTGCTCATCCCACATCCAAACAAGCCTCTTGCCGACAGTTCGGCTTTCAGGTTCGGACTCTTAGGTTGGTCTATCGGGCTCGACGTTGAAGGTTTAGGGTTTTTGGTTAAGGGTTTGCGGGTTTAGGGGTTTAGAGGTTTAGAGGTTTAGGGTTTAGGGTATAGGGTTTCGGGGTTTAGGGGTTTAGGGGGTTTAGGGTTTAGGGGCTTGGGGCTTACGGGCTTGGCTGTAGTGGTGTAGGGTTTGGCCATGGGGTTTCGGCATCGGACTAAACCCCAAACCTCAAACCCTAAACCCAAACGAGCTAAAGTCCAAACCCCAAGGCCTAAACCCTAAACCCCAAACCCCAAGCCCTGAGCCCTAAAGCTGCAGGAAGCTCGCCATTTTGCGACCTGGGGGAGCGTTTTCAACGAGGGTTCTCGCGGCTTTCCCTAAACCCTAAACCCTAAACCCTAAACCCTAAACCCTAAACCCTAAACCCTAAACCCTACCCTGTCTCAGGGTGCGGTTCAGAGTTTTTTTTTTTGAGGCCTGGAGATGCCGGCTTGGTCCAGTTTGGGGTTTAGGCTTTATAGGGGTTTAGGGTTTAGGGTTTAGGGTTTAGGGGTTAGGGTTTAGGGGTTAGGGTTTATAGGGGTTTAGGGTTTAGGGTGTAGGGGTTAGGGTTTACAGGGGTTTAGGGTTTAGGGCTTAAGGAGGGGGTGGAGGACTCTTTCTGTAAACCCTACACCCGTAAACCCCAAAACCCTAAACCCCAAGCCCTACACCCCGGGATGGTGTTTTTGCAGGCGTGCAACCAACTCGTCTCGACCTGAGAGCTGTCGTCCAAGGCCAAAGACCTGTCAAAGCCCTGTTGTGCAGGTCCTTTGAGTTGGGTTGAGGGTTTAGGGTTTAGGGTTTAGGGTTTAGTAATTTAGGGTTTGCAACTACGAAAAAGGCCTAAAGCCCTAAACCCAAAGCCCTGAACCTTCAAACCCCACACCCGAATGTGTAATGCGACTTTCATGTTGTTCCACACCTTGCGAATTCCTGGAGCGGGATCCCGCCGCATGTGGGATTCCACCGCCCTCGCAGTGTAAGCGCGGCCCCAGGGTAATATAGGGGCCTTAATGATTAGAACAGGGTTTTGGAGCCCATTATACTATATTCATAATAAGGAGCCCCCAAAATAGTATGTACTACAATTTTCGTAAGGAACCCCCAAATAGTATTGGTAATTCTTTAGGCTCCTACATTATGCATCCGAAGATGAAGTTTTGTTTCCAGTGAAGCGAGGAAGGGCCAGCGATCCCCCTTCATCCGCGACAGCCTCCAACTCCTGGGCCTCGTGCTTTATTGTTATCTTCAACTGCCTGTGTGTGTGTGTGTGTGTGCGTCTCTGCCTGAGAGAGGGACAGAGAGAGATAGATAGATAGAGAGAGAGCGGGGGGGGAGAGGGAGGGAGGGAGTGTAGCGCGGGCGTTTTATCTTGAGGGAGTTGACAGTCCCGGGTCGTTGCGGGGGTTTCAGCACTTTTGCATTCACTCCTAAGGGGTTTCAGAGCAGGTTCCACCCGGAGCCTTGAAAATTGAAAGTCAACCCTCTCAATGTTCGCATGCATGACTATAACTATATTACTACATTATGACTACTGTTATTCGTTATTGTTGTTAGCATATTTTTAATTGGTATTCCTATCTATCAGCATTACTGATTTATCATCACCACCATCATCCCATTATCGTGGCAATCGCCATCAGCATCGTCATCACCCGCTTCGTCGTCGCCGTCGGCGGCGTCAGCATCATCGCTATCATGAGAGGAAGTCGGCACCGTACCTATATCGTGATTCTGAAGGCGAGTATGTCCTTGATCAATCTGATGATGGTGATTCCTGCGTTTATTGGCCGTTAACATCTGGTTTATGTCTGTCAAGCTTCTTACAACTTGAGGGCTTGTAGTTCTCTGCTAAACTTATCTACAGTAAGTGGAGTCTCGTCTAATCGCATCAGAGAACTATGCCCCCAAAGTGTTACGTAGTCTTCTGTTGCTGTTTATAGAATGCCCAGGGGGCACATCTTGGGCTTGCTAGTTTCCACAGGAGAGCCGTCAGCCCCAAGCATCAAGTGAGCAGCCTTGTCCTTACCCCTTTCTTCCTAAACCCTAAGCCCCAAACCCTAAACCCTAAGCACAAGTGAGCTCTCCTGGAGGGTGACGTCTGAGGTAGTCTTTGTTAGTGTTCGGCCCACAGGGCTGAGACTTGAGGTCAGCGGGGTGAAAGTCTCATAACACTTAAAAAAAACCCCTAAGCCGTGGAGAGCATATGGATCCGCAGCTTTGTCATTCGGTTCTGCCGGGAGGGGAGGATTAGGGAACTTCGTTGGTCCGTAAAAAGGGACCTTCTTGAGAGGGTTTTTATCCCCAAGGGTTCCCCTAATCCTAACGTCCTGGGCTATAAGTTGTAGGTAACTGTAAGTCTAGCTCCCTCATTTCTACCGCTGTTACTAGGTCCCATGATTCTTTTAGCCATAATCCCTTCATGATCCCTCTTAAAGGAACCCTTCAAGTTACTAAGTCCGATCCTGGGTTTAGACCCTAAGCCCTAAACCCCAAACCCTAAACTTAAAACCCTGCACCCAGAGCCGTAAACCCCAAACCCTAAACCCCTACACCCTAAATCCTAAACCCTACACCCTAAATCCTAAACCCTTAACTCCAAACCCCAAACCCAACACCCTCAATCCTGAACCCGCAACCCCAACCCTAAACCTTACGTGCCCTAAACCCTAAACCCTAGAGTTTACACCCTGGACCCCCAGACCCTAAACCGTCCAACGCACACCCTACACTGTAAATCCTCAACCCTCCCTAAACCCTAAACC